GGGCAGCTTCCAAAGCACCCATCTAGTCATCAAAGCCTCTGTCTTTTGGTGGTAGATTTCCCCTCTTCCGGCTCTGCCAACGCCTATTGGACGTTGGAGTTCGACAACGTCTGCAGGTGGAATGAAGACATCTGCATCATCTGGCTTCACATTGATGACGGGGTGGTCATGGTGAGCTCCGAAGCGATCCTTGAAGAAATCTCTATGGCCTTGGTTGCAAAACTCAAGATTCGGTGGTCGAAATCAATTGACCACATCATCGGCGTCAATGTCTCAAGGCTCAAGGATGGCTCCTTTCACCTCTCACAGCCTGGCCTGACAAAAAAGGCCATTGACACCTTCTTGAAGATGCCAAGGAAAACCCAGACACCTATGAACCTGGCACAACTGCCTACAACGCTGACAGATGATGAGACACCTATAGACAGAACTCTCTACCTATCGGCGATTGGAACACTAAACTATCTGGTGGTTGCAACGAGGCCTGACCTGACTTACACCGTAAACTACTTAGCCAGGTTCTCTGCAAAACCAACAGAACAGCACTGGGAGGCTATACAACACATTATGTGTTACCTTCATACAAAGGGATGCATGAAGCTACATCTGAAGCCGCTGAAGGACAACGTCAAGACGGGGCTTCACACTTATGTCAACGCTAATTGGGGAGGCGAATACTTGCGATCAGTACACGGCTATGTTACCTTTTTCTTGGGCTGTCCGATATCCTGGACATCGAAATGACAAACATGCGTCGTGACTTCGACGTGCCATGCTGAATACATGGCACTGGGTATGGCCTGTAGGGAGATGGTCTGGTTGAGGCACTTAGTGATGGACATGTTAGGAACGGTGGGTGAGGCAAAAATGCACTGCAATAGCACCTCCGCCATACATGTGGCAAAGGATAACTTGTCAAATAAGTGGACAAGACACACGGACCGGGAGTATTATTACATCAACAAGCAAATTTTTAAGGGAATAGTTTCTCTAATCTGGGTAGACACCAAGAGACAAAAGGCAGACATTTTGACAAAGCCACTGGGACCCTTATTACTCGAATGTGGAAGAGAGGCCTTGAAACTTTTTGGCGGGGGGGGTTGATGATTTTTTTTCTTATTTCATCTGTTTTCATTTTTTTGTTGTTTTGTCTTGGTGGGGGGGGTTTGATTTTTTTTTATTTTTCTTACTACACTTCAGTCTTTTTGCTACTCTTTAAGCTCTGCTTTGTTATTTTCTCTTAATTTTTTTTTCTCTTTCTCTTCTTTTCATTTTTTAGAGTGGTGAACGAAGGCTTGTGCCTTGTCGTGGGGGGGGTGTTGTGGCACCAGGCCTCGGGGCCAGGTCCACTCGGGCACGACTGCGGCACAGCCACCAACTTAACCCAGGAGTCGGCGGATGTGGAGGTTCCTCAACATTCCCTGTTGTGAACTCCTCCACCCGCATCGTCCCGTCCCGAGCTCGAAGCTCACTCGTCTTCCGTTAGTTTCCCGTTTTTCCCGTTTACAAAACGCTGACGTACACACTGTAAGCATCGACGTGACGTTTACCGGTCCGCGGGCCTTGACCTGCACACGGACGTCCACCCTGATGTACATGGCTGTACTGCTCTTTTGCCCCTTCTGCAAGCGGCCTTGCACCCCTCGACGTATCTTAGCTTCATCTCTCCTTGCCATATCTTCAACCCCTTGTGAGCCAGAATGCCAGCAGTATGCCAAGTTGTATGCCAATGTTCTGAATGCTTCATGATGTCATTCATTGATTCCAATGGGGACACGCAAACTGTATGATTCACGATTATTGAGGAACGATATGTAGGTAGAGATATTATGTCAGCTTGTTCTTTTATCAAATAACGGCATTGAACGTTTAGGTGTCACAATATTGGACCAAATACACCATGTCAGAGAGCTGGAGACACCAAGACGTTCACGGGCTCTTTGCTGACAGCACTAAGACTCCTGATGGCGATACATTTGGAATGTGGATGATCATGAATACAAAGGATACCTACTTTGTAAGAAGCAGGTTGGCTACCATTGGTTGGTTGCTTTGAAGCTGATCGTTCTTGGTCTTCGCTCTCTCCATTCTTCAGGGCACAACAACTTACTCGAATTTGAAGGTCGATGGAATCCTGTATAATGTCATAGTTTCCAACCATCACGGAAATCAATCGCCAAATCTCACTGATAGTCAGCGCTTGTTTAGATCTACTATTTTAAAATTTTGCTGATTATCGATCAGGAATCCATCATTCAGGCTTCGATTGGACTTTTGGACCTTCGATTTGTTATTGGAACCATGGCCTCAAGGGTGAGAAATTGTAAAGTGTGAGTGGTGATGTTTTTAATTACCCAAAGACTGGTGTTGACCAAAGAACTATTTCTAGCTCTGGCAAGATGCAGTATTGTACAGTTGTATGTCTGAGGAGGGGGAGTCTTTGGTGTGCTGGCTTTAAAATGAGGACAGGTGAGACAGAGAGAGAAGTCTAGAGAGACAGAGACAGAGACAGAGAGAGCAAGGAAATATCCCTTCGAGACTGTCTACTGCACTTTCTTTTCATTTTTTTTTTTTTTTTTGCCATGAAGCTTCTTTTCACTTTCCTTTCCATCTTATGGGTCTTGGCTCTCTCCACCCAGGCCTTAGTCCCGGGCTGAATTTGATTGAGTCTCGCACAGTCTGAACTTCTG